GAGGCAGGTGAATCTCTGTGAGTTCAAGGCCAGCCTGGTCTACAAACTGATTTTGAGACCAGTCCGGGCTATACAGTGAAACCATCTCAAGCAAAACAGGAACAAAACCAAAATACGTTGGATGCCACAAAATTTAAAATCACTTTTATTGTCCCCACTGCGTTTGTCCTGAGCAGGGCAGGTCTAGAATCACAAAGCTGTATCACAGTTCACATGTAGGGAGGATGGGTGCTTTAGTGGCAAAGGTGGGGAACGGGGTGGCGTGGTATTTTGAATGAGCTAGATTTAAAATGAATGGAACCAGATGTCATGGTACAAGCCTAAAATCCCTGACCTTTGGAGGCAGAGGAAGGAAGAATACAAATTTAAAGGCAGCCAGGACTACAGAGCAAACTGCAGGCCAGCATAGAATGAATAACAAAACCTTGTATTAAAAAAAACAATCAGGAGCTGGAGAGATGGCTCAGTGGTTAAGAGCATTGCCTGCTCTTCCAAAGGTCCTGAGTTCAATTCCCAGCAACCACATGGTGGCTCACAACCATCTGTAATGAGGTCTGGTGCCCTCTTCTGGCCTGCAGACATACACGCAGACAGAATATGTATACATAATAAATAAATTTAAAAAAAAAAACAATCAGGCCTGGTGGTAGTGGTGCACGCCTTTAATGCCAGCACCCCATCTCTATGAGTTTGAGGCCAGCCTAGTCTACAAAGCAAGTTCCAGGACAGCCAGGGCTGTTATAGGGAGAAACACTATCTCAAAAAACAAAATAGAAAAAAACCCCAAACAAACAAACGAAGAAGCAATCATCAGCCATTTGCGATGGTGCACGTCTTTAATCCCCCCAGCACTCCACAGGCAGAAGCATTTTTTAAATATGATCATTGCTGTTATGTCTCCTTTGAACTATTTCACTATGGCTTTTTACCTTATTCTTAAAAGCGATTGATTACAAAGTGATAATTGTAATTTTTACATTTTGTTATTTGAACCTGCTCATTCTTTTCTCATTTTATTTGTTTGCTTGTTTTTGACTTTTTGCTTGTTTAATTTATTTATTTGTTTGTTTGTTTGTTTGTTTGAGGGCCTCCCTGTCACCATGGTTAGTCTAAAGTTTATTATGTAGACCTGGCTGGCCTCCGATCAACATAGAGCCAACTGCCTCCAGGCTCCATTGTTGTGGTCAGGTATGCATCACAATGCAGGAGGGCTAGAACATTTCTTATACTCTTTCTTCTTCCCTCTCCCTGCCCACCTTTATTTTCAGAGAGAGTCTTATTATGTTAAATTCTGTAGCTAGGTTATGCTAAATTATTCCCTATACAGACCAGGCTATCTTCAAACTAACAGGGATCTGCATCCTCCTGCCTTCCCAGTGCTCCCCAATTTCCTCATGTCAAAGTTGACCATGAGATCCTGGCCAAACTCTCCTGACCTGCTGTTGGCTGAGCTCTGGTAGAGGGAAGGCAGTGCTGAGGATGAGGGCTTCAAGGCCTGTCTGCTCCAGGCCTCAGGAATCTCTGCAGTTTTCACTGTTCCTTCCAACAATGACATCAACCATCCTCCTCAGGTTAAAAATTCCCAATACACATGCAGCAGCCTCACTATCCTGGAAGCTCAGGTAAAGAACTCTGAAGTCTGATATTTCACACCCTTCTAGCTGCTCCATTCCTGTCAGGCTTTCACAAGACTCTCAGCAGCAACAGTACAGCTCCCACCAAGAGTTGTTTCTCTACCTATTCGTAAACAATTGCACGTTGGAACGTCCTTTCTTTTTCTTGATCAACGCATTTTATTTCTGTATGTATTTATTTATTACAGGCAGATATGTAGTAAGCTGAAACAAATGTATGTGTACATTTTTGTTTTACAAATATTGCTGCAAGAAATATCCTTTAAATAAAAAAACTGAGGCTTTTTGTGGTGCACAGACATACATAGGTAGGCAAAATATCCATACACATGAAAAGAAATATTTTTTTTTTAATTTTTAAAAGAAGGAAAAAGATTCATGAGTTTTTCTTCAAGGAAGTCAAAATGCAGCAGGATAGGTCAATATCCAAGCAATGGAGCAGCAAGACCCAGGGAGCCGGGAGCAGAGCTGCTGCCACTGCATTCTGAAGGGCACTGGGAAGGAGCGCTTCACCATGTCTTTGTCTCCTGCTCTGGAAATACAAACTTTTAGCATTACATTTGCTTAAAGTAGTTCTGTGAAATTCAAACGACTCCTATTGAATAGGGATGACACAGTGGAGTAGGATTTCCATAAGTGGGAATTGGTGCATGGGTGACAGAATCCAATGTCCATCCCATGACTCACGGTCACACAATGTGGTACTTGGTAGAGGGAAAGGTGTTCTTAGTGTAGCATATGTGTGTGTGTGTGTGTGTGTGTGTGTGTGTGTGTGTGTGTGTAGCCAATTATCCTTCCACATGCTTGCTGCATCCTTCGGGGACAATCTATTCTATTAAGAGAAGAAAGGAAAGAAAGAGAGAGAGAGAGAGAGAGAGAGAGAGAGAGAGAGCAGGCTGTAATAATGCTGAGAAAATAAAATCATGTTAATGAAATTACTTCCATTTGTAACAATACATAATTGGAGACTTGTTGCTTTGCTTTGTATTTCTTAAAAAGAAACCTGATTTTCTGTTCACTCTTCCGAGGAAGGAAGGGTGTATTTTGGCTCACCCTTTGAGGTTACTGTCCATCAGGGTGGGGACTGTGGCAGCAGCAACGTGAGGCACAATGGTGGCGCCATTGCGTGCACAGTCAGGAAGCAGGGTGATAAATCTGTCGCTCAGCTGCTTCCGCCCTTATTCAGTTCAAGGCTCAGGCTGCGGCTCCTGCTGCCCCTGCATCTAATTTTTATGTCTCCAGTATAGGGCTGGAGAGCTGTGTCAGCAGTTCAGAGTGCCTGCGGCTCCTCCACTGGACCTGGATGAATTTCCCAGGACCCATGCGGAGGGTATAATGCCCTATAATTCCAGCTCCAGAAGATCCATTGCCCTCTTCTAGTCTCCACGGGAATGCATGTGGCTTACACTCACATGTATACACACACACACACACACACACACACACACACACACACGAATACCAAACAAATTTAAAAGCAAACAAAAGAATCCTTTGAACATATATTAAAGAGTCTTTTACAATTCCAAATGATAAAAGATAAAATGCCTACAGCTACAAACTACAGTCCTCCTGTTGCTGCTTCTCTACCCGAGAGACACGGAGAGGAGTGTGGTCACTTTTCATGACATTTCCACCTCTAGACAAATGCGTGTAAATAAGTTGTCATTGTCTCGAGTTTTTGCCAAAATGAGTTCCTATGAACCCAACATAGGTTGTTTTGTACTTTAAAAAAAAATTGTATTTCTTGGAAATATTTTCAGGTTAAGGAGTTTCAATAAAATGTTGTTGTTTTCTGCAAACATGCACCGTTAATAACCAGAGTTCATATTGTTTAAGGTCACAACCTCAAAGTAGAATGTTGACAAGATTTAGCACAAATTTTATACGGCTTTTCTGGCATGGGCACTTGGTGCCCAGGGAGTGTGAGACATCTTGATTTAGTTTAACATTAACTGTAAGATGGCCGTCCTGGCTGTGGATGGACGCCAGCTTTAGTGTACTTGCCAAGCATATATGGAGTCCTGGGTTGTAACCTCAGCACAGCAGAAACCCATGCACAGTGGCACATACCTGTGAGGCCAGCACAAGGGAGGCAAGAGGATGGCAAGTTTATAGTCATGCTTGGCTACATAGGAGTTTCAGGCTAGCCTGCATTACATAGTGGGATCCTGCCTCGCAACAACACTCCAAATGCAAACTACAATGATTATCCTAAGTCCATATGGTAAAACCTAATGTTATTAAATTCCCTGACTCATCTACCTTCCCCTAAATGGGTGTAGGGAAGCAACTTAAAGCCACTCGGATGCTGATGCTTCAGAAGCTTCAGCCCTAAGTAGACAGATCTGTGACATTGTCCTCAGCACCTTTAAGAAGTCCACGTAAGGTATATTTAATTATTTATTTGTTTTCAGAAGAGGAAGCCCTTAAAACTACAATACCTCCTGGAAACATTTTGCTTAGAAAATGTAGCACATCCTATTTGCCAGAACAGAAAATTATCACATCCAGTTTCCTGTCTTGCACAAGTACCTAACTGTGCAAGCCACATAGAACAGTTAGTACACAGGAAAGGGGCATCAGAACACGGAGAAGCTCAGCTTTGGAAGTTGCATCCTCTCTCCCTCACCTCTGCAAGCAGAGACTCTCGTCTGCCTTCATTTGCTGAGCCTCTTCCACTGTTAACATGGGCTGTAATGAACATGTGTTAGGACGATGGTAGCTGAATGGCAGACCAGTGAGTATAAGGAGTCAGCTTTCACTTCTGCCTCTGCACTGGGACCCTCATGGGGCTCTGTCTGTATTCTATGTCTCTTCTGCCTCTGCACCGGGACCCTCACGGGGCTCTGTCTGTATTCTATGTCTATTCTGCCTCTGCACCGGGACCCTCACGGGGCTCTATCTGTATTCTATGTCTCTTCTGCCTCTGCACCGGGACCCTCACGGGGCTCTATCTGTATTCTATGTCTCTTCTGCCTTTCCCTTTATTCCACTGCAAATGAGAAAGTTGTTCCAGGTTTTTTAATTCCTTTATCCAGGAACCATCTGAGAATCAGCACTATCTCCAGGCTGGACTATGAACGCAGGTGAAGAGCTTTGCTGAGGCAAAAATTTCAAATTTTCAGCCTAGCAGAAATTTGGTTCTTGTTGTTGTTTTGCTGTCTTGGAGAAAAGGTCTTACAATGCAGATCAGGCTGGCCTCAACTCACAAGATAACCTGCCTCTGCTTCCTGGGTGCTATTTTAATTATTTTCTTGAGGTCTCCCTAAATGACTGAATAGATGCTATCTGGCAAAAGATTGTAGAACTTTAGAAACTCAATTTTCAAACAAAACACTTGAAGGTGTGGCCAGGAGATAAAGATGGAGTTACAAAAGAGACTTGCCTTTATCCATGGGCAGATCTGGAAGCCTCCATCAGCAGCAGAGGACTAGGAGAGACTGTAACCAGAAGCTGTGGCTCTCCTACCTAACTGGTAAGTACAGTCTTCTGCAGACTCATGCAGGAGAGTAGCAATTGGGATTTGGAGTCTCTGTACCATATAGAATTATGTATGAGGTGATGTGGGATTGTATGCTGAACATTAGGACAATGGGGAGTGAGTCTCCAGACATTAAGGCAAGCTAGCATCCAACAGAGTTCTTTGGACTCTTGGAAGGTGAAATGGAATAATGGACTTTCATAGATAAGTTATTAAAATGATTTAAAGCAGGGGGCTGGAGAGATGGCTCAGTGGTTAAGAGCATTGCCTGCTCTTCCAAAGGTCCTGAGTTCAATTCCCGGCAACCACATGGTGGCTCACAACCATTGGAATGAGGTCTGGTGTCCTCTTCTGGCTGCAGACATACACACAGACAGAATATTGTATACATAATAAATAAATATTTAAAAAAATGATTTAAAGCAAAGTTAATATGTGAAATAAGAAACCTGTAGAAAATTGTCTGGTCCTTTGAGATTAAGCCCTATATATTTAGCCCCTTGTCTAAGTAATGTGTAATATTGTATATAACATGGAAATGGGCCAGTGAGGTGAGGGCATAGATACTTTTGCAGTCTTGCTCCTTGATATTTGGGGTTTGCAAAGTAAAGATATTTGTAAGAAATAATTTGTTTGATGGAAAGAGAGCCTCACAAGAGCTGCTGGGGGTTGAGGTCCTGTGTTAAGTTTGGGAGCTTGGCCAGAAGTAGGAAAGTTTTGCTTTAGCTGAAGTGTTGGGGAAGGGAATGGGGTTCCTATTGTGGGTTGGTGAGCAGCTTGTAACATTTGGGATTCATTTTTCAATGACCGGGCAGTCATTAAATTCTTTAAATATTGGGGAGATATTTAGAAAAAATCCTCATAAGATATTTATAAATGCATGCATTTATGTTGAGGAGAATTGGTGCAACCCTCTCCAGACTGCAGTTTTACCCTCTCAATTGTCTGTCTGTCTGACCTGCTACTTCCCCTCACTTCCAGGAGCTGTGGGGTGGTTGTGCCTTCCCTCTCCAATGCCCCATCCCTCAAGTCTCTCCCCTATCTAACCTCTGAACTATTAAAAATAAGACACGAGTCAGAAAATGTAAGATATACATCATAATGAACACTCATTCTATTTTTATACTAAAATTTTGGAATCCACCAGCCTAATAAGTCCTGTCCTCTAAGCATTATCCTCGTGGCAGTCCGCCATTGCCCCCACCCCCCCTCCACCCCACCCTCCTCTACCCCACCCCCCCTCCTCCACCCCACCCCCTTCTCCTCTACCCCCCCCATTATGTGCATAAACTATCTCGTGCAACTTACTTGAGATGTGGCTTATTGTATTCCAGCCTTTCCTCACAAGGAAGCCTTGCTGAGGATAACCTTGAACTTCTGAGCTTCCTTTAGCTGAACTGTTCCCTTAGCTTCTATCCTGTTCATTTTATCATTAAAAAAAAAAAAAAAATTCCAGCCTGTTGGCAAACACTTGTAATCCTAGTACTGGCAATTCCAACCCTTGGGAGACAGAGGCAGTACGAGGAGTTCAAGTTCATCTTTGCTAAAGGATGACTTAAAGGCTATCCTTCTTGATTGAGAATTTGAATTAAAAATATCAAAAACCCAAAGGTATTTATCATGCTATCCATCTTGCCTCTTTCCATTAATGTGAGTGTGTGTGTGTGTTATCAAACTGTGGCTATATACAAATATGGACTTTTCAAGCCAGACATTCGTGGCAGATGCCTTTAATCCCAGCACTAGGCAGGCAAAGGTAGAAGGTCTCTGTGAGCTCAAGGCCAGCCTGGTCTACAAGAGTCAGTTCCAGGATAGGCCCCAAAGCTACAGAGAAACCCTGTCTTGAAAACAAACAAACAAATATTATATAGAGACTTTTTCTTTAAGATGATAATAAAATATTTGATTATAAGCCCATTTTGAGTGACCTTGGCATTAGGATATCAATTCATTTTAAGTGACATCCCACAATGGAAAAAGATTTTATGAACTTTCTTTTTACTTACCATTTATTTATATATTAATTTATTCACTTATTTTTTGAGACATGGTCATATATATATATATATATATATATATATATATATATATATATAGCTCTGGCTGGCCTGGACCTCAGAAATCAGCGAGCATCTGTCTCCTAGTTGAGGGAGTAAATGAGTGTGCCACCACCCATCAGACCTAGCTCTTTATTGTTGTTGTTGTTACATGTCTTTTCTGTGTGCCAACAATGGACACCAGGGTCTCTCTGCAAGACCTCCAACTCCAGTCTCCCAATCTCACTTTCCCACTTTTGATTTTGAGGCAGATTCTGACCAAGTTGCTCAGGGAGCCTAGATAAGCCTTAAGCTCATGTTCTCCCGGCCTCAGCCTTTTAGAAATTAAGGTTACAGGCCTGTACTTCCAGGCCAAGTGTGAACTTTGATAGTATCAGAAATGGAAACCAGAGTTTTATGTTTTTACAAAGCACAGAGGGATGACTGGGTGTGTTGGGTCATGCCTGTAATCCCAGCATTCTGAGGAGGAGGGTCTCTGTAAGTGAGAGATCAACCTGAGGTAGAACAAGCTTCAGGTTCAATAAGACCCTACAAAAATAACTAAATAAATGAAAAGGCCAACCAGCCTACCAACCAACCCCACTGGTGGCTCATGAGGCAGGGGCTACAGCAAGGCAAAGAGATTTCTGGTCATAAGATGCTGCATTTATTGCCTTCCCAGCCTCAGAGGGGGTGAAGCCAACCCAGTCTGCATTTCAAGTTTTATCTAAAAGAACATTGTTGAAGCTGAACTTGTTGTCAATGGCTATTCAAAATGTAAGATACCTTGAGATAACTTTAGCTCTGACCTTCAGCATTCTATCCTTCCAGCATCAGGACGCTCTTCTACTCAATCAAAGTCTCAGTCTTAGGGGTCTAGAGCCCACATCCAGCTGATTAGACAACAGCTGTGTAGACAGCATCAGTTCACAGACTTAGTTCTGGGTTTCCAGCTGTTGCCTTGCTTTCTTTTTCCTCACACCATCTCCCCTGATGTCTCCACATGGGAAGTCACTGGCCCTGCAGCTGTAAGGTCCCCTGGACCTCTGCAGCTCTGACTTGGAATCACTGCCAGTGCCTTTGCGTTTGTCTGACCTTGCCTCTCAGGCCCTCCTTGTCTTTATGCTCTTCCTGCTCCTTGGGCTGATTCTGCCTGTATATGGGCACCTCTTCTCTGTTGAGCTTTTGAAGGAAGGCCCTCCCCAGGAGGCCCTGGGGCCTTTTCTTAGCTCATTCTCTCTCTCTCTCTCTCTCTCTCTCTCTCTCTCTCTCTCTCTCTCTCACACACACACACACACACACACACACACACACACAAAACAAAAACCCAGAAAAGGCATTTCCCATCAGCACTGGATTTCCCCAAAATACCTAGTTTAGCCTTCTGCTTTTCAACAAAAGGCAATGTGATCAATGAAACCAAAACAGTCCCTGCTGGGTTCAGAAGGCAGAGCAAACTGTGCTAGGTTCCTTGATCATGTGGCCTTCTGTTATCTCTTCTACAATGAATGCCTGAAACAGATAATAAAGCATTGGTTCTTTGCTCTTTTAATATTTGTGGTGCAGGCCGGGCGGTGGTGGCACATGCCTTTAATCCCAGCACTCGGGAGACAGGCAAATCTCTGTGAGTTCAAGACCAGCCTGGTCTACAAGAGCTAGTTCCAGGACAGGCTCCAAAGCCACAGAGAAACCCTGTCTCAAAAAAACAAAACAAACAAACAAAAAAAAATTTGTGGTGCTTTGATACAATACCTCATGTTGTGGCGCCCCCCCCAACCTTAAAATTACCTCATCGCTACTTCACAGCTGTAATTTTGCTGTTTGTATGAATAAGCATAAAATTTGATGTGTAAGATATTTGATATGCGACCAGTGTGCAAAGGTCCTTTGATCCCAAAAGAGTTGTGACCCGCAGATTGAGAACCCCTAACTATGCCATCCTTGCATGTCATCCTAGCTGTCATAGCAGTCCCCAGAGGTCACCAGGTCCTGGCACCTCTGCACCCCAGCAATGACACTGTATTTCCTTGTGAAAAGAACAATCCTCACAAAGTGACCCCTGAGCTCTGTCCCTGCCCCCCACCCCTGCCCCACTCCCTGTTCTCCTGCACTGGTGTCCTTCCCTGTTCCTCTCCCCTGACACAGGCATTCTCCTGCCTCTGGACCTTCGCCCTCCCTCTTTCTTTTCATGTGACATCTCTCTCTGGTTAACTAAGTCTTCTTCAGCTTTGCTCAAACCCCACCCTCTCTGTGAAAGTATTAGAAAGTCCATTTGGGCCTGAGAGACCACGTAGAAATTGCACCCATACCCCTCCACGGTACCACTAGAGCTCCCTTGCTTGCTGTATGCTTTCTGGGTCTTCCCCCTTTGTTCACTTGTTCATCCGGGAGTAAAATGGTTAAGACTGCTGTCTGCCTGCAGCCGTCCCCCTGCACAATGGGGGGAAACTCTTTAACATCTCTGAGATTTCTACTGAATTGAAGTTTTTAAAATGTTTTTCTTAACATATTTTCTACATAAATACAAACTTCATGATACCAGGGATCTTTGAGTCACTGATGTATTCAAAATTCATAGAATCATATACAATATATTGTAGCTACGCATAAATGTGAAATCAGTAACAATTTAGTATTCTAGTGGTGTTTGCTATAGTAAACTCGAATATCTTGTATTTTATCTATCTACTTTTCTGATTTCATAATTATTTTAAATTACGTGTATATGATTGTGATTGTTTGGATCCATGCATGTTAGTGCAGAAGCCTTCTCCAGTTCTCTGGAGCTGGAGGTAAGGGTCGCTGTGACCCACCTGAGGCTGCTGGGGTTATCCTCTGGTCCTCTGCTAGAGCAGCCGACCCTTCTTGTTGTCCTTTTCGGTCCTTTTACCCTTCGCTCTTTTCCCCTTCTGTAAGGGCTGCCACCCAGCTTCCAAACAAATCACACATGGAGGCTTC